ATGGGTCAATGCATGAACCTGACTAGTAAGTCAACCCCCTCCAAATTAAACTGGCCGTTCTTAGGGCTAGATATAACCTCTTAAAGGGGGGAATTCCTCCCTTGCGAGATTATGTGTAAAAGCTCCCCCTGCCCCGTTTAAGAGACTATCATGGACACATTACTAACTAGCTTCTGCTGGAGTATCTCCGGCCTCTTCAACAGGCCCAGACTATAGTTCATTCAAGGGTTCAGGACCCATTCCAGTTCCTTCCTTGATGTCTCGTCATTCGTTCTGACTCAGGGATCAAGTATACAACAAAAAGTTTCAGGAAAAAAGCACGGGCACCTGTCTGGAAAGACCCTCACACATCGTCTTGACAATGCTGACTGCAGTCCAGGTTGACAGGATCCCTGTGTGGATTCGTCACTCCCGTGACAAGCCAGTTCAGGACCAGGAACAGAAATGGAAACCAGCTCCCCTGGACCAAATCCACACAAGCTACAACTCTCTTGAAAATAGAACTCCTGCTTTGGCTATATATTCCCTCTTAGGAAGGCTCGACCATCTACTTATTCCTTGACTCTTACCCCCTCCCACACTGTGAAAATTCTGATAGAGACTATATTTATACTTAAAATACAGACTGTATTTAAAATAGGCCTATGTTTAAAATTGATCTCATAAAATTTCCTCTGTTTGTTTGGTTTTTGTTTGTTTGTATGTTTGTTTGTTTTTCAAGAGAGGGTTTTGTGTGTGTGTGTGTGTGTGTGTGTGTGTGTAGCCCTGGCTGTCCTGGAGCTCTCTCTGTAGGCCACGCTGGGTCTCTGCCTCCTGAGTGCTAGGATTAAAGGTATGTACCGCCTGGCATAAAACTCTTAAACCTTCCCACAATCAGGGCTAAAGTTACCTTCTGACAGGCCTGGAGAGAGTGCCTCCTAAAATCCCACAGGATTATAAAAACATTAAAACGAAGCCTTATAAAAGTTTAAAGATAATTTAGATAAGAGACAACAATAATTCTTGGTACTATAAAATGTGCGATTCAAACTCGTGGTTCACAACCTTCCTCATTGGTCTGAATGGCCTCTTGCTCCTCCTTCTCGTAGGACCTGCTGTGGGCTTGTTCAGTAAATTGCCTTTAAAAGTTCATCAGACAAGAATTGCCTCAGTTAAGCTAACGATGCTCAGGACCCAGTATTTTCCCCTTAGCCAAGATTAGAGATTTGAAAGCAACAAGAAAAGGGGGTGGGGAGGGATAAAATGAGTAAGGAAACACCATCATGTGTGTGTGCCAACTTTATTTTGTGTCTGCATAGATGCTTCCCAGCCTTCCATCTCCTAACAGCCTTCGCAATGCTTTTTTGGGACAGTCTGTGAACTTGACCATGGTCCAAACATATTATGTAGTGTCTGGAATATACCGCTAAGCATGTAAAGAAAGGAGATGTTTCTAGGCCACTCCAAATTCCTCACTAATGTAACCCCCACAGCAAGCAATGATGTCATTGTGGTTCTATATTCTAAAATGCTGTACAGCTGACCTTGGGCACCAAGAGACTTGGCAGTGGCACAGGCTGCTCTTGATCTGGCCATTAATAAAACAGGACTCCAAACTTTTAATTCATTTAATTAATCAGCACGGTTGTGAATAATTATCTCACCTAGATGATTTCTTGGTAACAGTATTTAGGTGTATGGCTATCCTCCTCAATGTGTTCAGATATGCTCGCAGATTCTTGGTCTCACAGATCATAGGATAAGAGTCTGAATCGTTTTACTTCTGAACCAGTTCTTCAACATCCAGGTGCACTGCTGCAATAACATTCTCATGGGCGCTGCTTTCTAATAATTTTTTTTTTATCATTTTGGTTCCGGTACATCTGTGTGTGTGTGTGTATGACCACTACAACCGTGCTTGTGTTCAGGTCCACCTCGATACTCTGCTGTAGTCCCAATAACACATGTGCTGCTGTTCTGGCTCAGGCATGATCAGAGCAGTACCTCCACAGGCTTTGTTGTAAACACTCACCTATTTGTGCTGAAGCATTAGGTGTTGCAGACATGCAAATGTGTATTTTTTTCTACCAACAGGGTATGAGCTGTTCTGCTAGCACATTCATGTGCATTGATGTGGCAGTACAACCTCGTGTCTCCTGTGCAGCACTTCCACGAGTGCAGATGTCCAGCATCCCTGAGTCCTGCTTTACTTTCACGTCTGTGTACATTTCTGTAACAGGCATCTACGTATGGCTGCTCTCATGTGACATGTAGACTGAAGACTGCACTTACATTTTCCAGCTGCCTAGACCCGAATAATCACACAGAAACTTTATTAACTGCAATATTGTTTGGCCAATGACTCAGGTGTATTCCTAGCTAACTCTTACATCTTAAACTAACCCATTTCTATTAATTTGTATATTGCCACGAGGCTGTGGCTAACCAGTAAAGTTCCGGCATTCTTCAGCAGCTATATGGCGTCTCTCTGACTCTGCCTTCTTTCCATATCTATCTGTGCTTGTAATTCCTGCCTTGCTATATTCTGCTCTGCCATAGATCAAAGCAGCTTCTGTATTATCCAATGCAAATAAAACATATTCACAGCATACAGAAGGGAATCCCACATTAATCTTCCCTTTTCTGTCCAAGTAGAAAGGAAGGTTTTTAACTTTAACACAGTAAAATTACATATAACAAAATAGGTATCAAGCAAGAATTACACTTACATTATTTAGTATATTTGTATCTGGCAAAATTTAGAAAATATTCTATCATCTGTTTTATCTTTGTGAGTCTAAAGTCTCATATCTAATTTATCTTTTATCGCAATGAAGGAAAACTGTAACTATAACTGTCTGTCCTCGATGCTCTCAAAGACCCCAGAGGGATACAATATCATCTAAGTTAACAAGAAGTACATTTTAAGCAAGTTCCAAAGTTCTAAAACTGACAGACACATCTTGCTACCTGGACAGTCACCCAAAGTTCTTCTGTAACATTGGAGCATCCATCTTCAGCCTACAGGCCCATAGTATCCAGCAGATTTTTTCATGAAGCAGGAAATTTGAAAGACTGTTTCACCTGTATTTTGGTAGTTTGTCAGTCACTTTCTTCTGTGTCCTGCAGAATGGCAGACTCTTCCATGAAGCAGGAACCCTGAAAAACTGTCTCACCTTCTTTAGGCAAGTTCAGCAGTCATTTCTCTGTGGGTCCTGCAGATCCAGTTTATTTAGCATACCATCAAGTAGTCCAGTCAATAGCAGTTTCTTGCCCAAATGGCTAGCTTTGTCACACTCAAGGCAAATTTCATAACAAGTTTCTTCAATACCCATCAATCTCTCAGAAGTAATTGGTGCTGCTAGAAGCAGATATATCTCACTATTGAGAAAAGTCTAAATTCTTAAAACATTTTAATTGCCATATTCTGTAGGTCTTTGAAAAGTTTGAAGGATATTTATCCATCTGAAATATATTTCTGTGCATCTAGAAAATCTAACATGACTATCGTTTAACTATTATAGATGACTATCTATTAATCTATATTTCTTACATTACATTTTAAATGAGCTGCACAAACACAATAACTTATACAAGAGCAGAAATGCATGTACACAGTGTAATAAAATCAACCTTAAATTTGTATTAATAGGCCAAGATCCATGCCAATGCAGAGTATTTATCTCCATATCACATTCCCTTATTTTTGTGGTTTTTAGCAATTGTTTGTGACCATTTATCACTTATAATCAATCTCCTTTAAATAAAAACAAAAACACCCTCCCAAAGGTCAAAACAAAACAAACAACAACAACAAAGAAAAATAAAAAACAAAAAAAGCAAAACAAAAAGCACACGATAAAAAAAAAAAAAAAACCTACTTGACTTTGTGTTAGCAAACTACTCTTGGGCATGGGGCCTTCCCGGAAATACAGTCGATACACCTGGTGACAATGAAGTCAAGAAAGCTGATTTTTCTTTCAAACCTCCTCATTCAAAGCTTAGAGGTCTATGTGGAAGATATGAGTCTATGAGGCAGAAAGACTGAAAGAGACAAAGGTGATGACTGACGCCAAGGAAACATTACCCGTACACAACAGGACTGACGCACATGAACTCCCAGAGACTGCGCTAGCACGCACAAATCCTGCACAGGTTCAAACCAGACAAAATCCCAACACTGAGGAAGGAAGGTGAACACCAAGGTCCACCCCAACCAAGAAACTGTTCATAATTTATCATGCATTTTTAAAACGAGAAGAGAATGGGACTGGAGAGGTGGCTCGGTGTTTAAGCACTTGCTCGTGCAGAGGACCTGGGTTCAGTTCCCAGCACTCACCTGCATGAATGCACACACACATACACACACACACACACACACACACACGCACACACGCACATATACATAAAACAAATATAATAACAAATAAATAAATCTGCTTTAATTGAAGCGTGCACAGGCTCCCAACACAAGAAACTGGTATTTGTCTAAGGAGACAGAATGCCAAGGACTCTTTGGTCACTATGGTTTGCATGCATCAAACCATGGCATTGTGCTTCGTGCACAAGGAGGAGAACAAATCAGCAGTGAGCAGAGTCCTGCAGAGATGGACAAAGCTGGGAGCCCCAGAGGGGAAAAAAAATACGAGTCTTGTGGGATCTAGGTGACATAATGGGAATTCTTTGTACAACTCTTTCAACTGTTTTTTGTTTAAAATTTGTTCTAAAATGCCAGGGAGAAGGGGATTATTTCTAAGTGGTGGGATATCTTTCTGTGCCTTCTTCCATGCTTGTAAAACTTCTATGAAGAATGTAAGCTACTTTGTTTTCTACTTCTGTTATATGTTCAGGAATTCAGGGGCTCTATGGCTGCCTGGGTGACCTGCCCTGTAGAGACAGATAAGGATCCTCTTACTGGCTCTGCAGATGGCCTTGGGTCTGGGGGAAAGATGACAGCCTAGAATGTTGAAAACTTGTTTCCACAGACAAGAATCCAGAAGGTTCTGAGGACAGAAGGAACTGAGGACAGACACACAGCTGGTGAAGACTGACCCCTTTCTTCCTCCACTTGTCCTGCCACCGTAGCCCATATCTCCTCTTGGCAGAGACATACTCAACTTCATGGGGCCAAGTTTGGGGGTACTGTGTACATGCTCCCTGCCAGCCTATGGATCCTTTCAGAGGTAAGGCCTACCTACAGAAAGGACGTTAGGAAGTGGGGGTGGGGGGGAGGCTATCCCTGAAAGGGCTGATAGGACCTCAGTCTACTGCTCTCCTCTTCCATTCTTGGTCGTGAGTTGAGCAGCTCTACCTCACACTCCAACATAGAGTACCAAAAATGATGGCTTCTGGCCTCCTCCAAGGGCAGTTGGACAACTGGCCTCTAAGATTGTGAACCAGAGCCAGTCTCGTCTTTCTCTAGGCTGTTTCTCTCTATCACACTAAGGAAAGGCTAACCAGCGCACTTCGGTTAACTCATCTGGAAAACGGACCTTTTGAGAGCTAACCCAGAAAACCCTCACAAAGGACTCAAAGTGGCTCCTTCTCGGTGCTTGCTGAGGCCCTAGTGCCAGGGACTGCGAGCTAGAAACACAGCTTAGTTCTTGCATATCAGTGGGTAGTATCTGTCAACATAAAATGCAGCCAACTCCTGAATTGCTTCCATGTTTGGGGACTAATAGGTAGCCCAGGAGTAACAGTGGAGCCAGTGAAAAGTGTTTCTTCCCAGAACCGCCCCATTTCAGGCCACAGCTCAGGTGGATGAAGGTGTTTTGCCTTCCTGGGGCTCATCGCAAGTAGGCTGAAGACAGATTCTTTCTGGGATTCACACAGCTGACCAGGCTTTGAGGAGATGGAATAGTCCAAGTTCAGACTCATGCCCTGGAGAGCTGACATCCCCACAGGGTCTCCAGTAAAACACACCTGCTTCTTTCTCTCCTTTCCTGAATCTCTCGCCAGCCTCAGTTTGCTCTGCGTGGGCTTTGTTTCTCCTCACTGTCTTCAGAGGAGTCTCAGATTCCACTGGTGCTGCACAGAACAAAAGACATCGAGCGGTCAGTCTCCAGTGACAGGCCTCTCGAACACAGCCTTCCGGGAGCAGTGGAGGCTTCTGGCTGATTGGTTCACAAGGCCGACTGAGAAGGGAGGGCTAAAAAGGAGCTGCATGAGGAAGGAAGCCAAGTAATTACTTTCCCGTTTATTAACAAGTAAAAACCCGTGCACAGTTATCACAAAACAGAACGAAAAATCCGAACCGGGTCACCAGCTGCTAAGCCGTCGCTGCCATCGCCGCCCTCCCGCCCCTCGCCTTCCCACCCCCCCCATCCCCACCCCCACCCCCACCCCTGGCCCAAAGACCAATCCAACTTCCCCGTTCCAAAAGGGTCCCGCAAGTCGCTCAGCCTTATCTTTGGGTCAAAGCCTTCCTAACGAAAACTCCGCCCTTGGAACTAAACTCCCCCTTTTCATTGGCTAGCGGATCGGTGACAGAATCCCCGCAACAGCTGTTCACTTGGCTCACCTCCTAGCTTTCTCAGGAATTCAGAGGCAGGCAGAACACAGAGCTGTTAGGGTTTGAGCCTCAGGGAACCAACAAGGACTCTCTAGCCATGGTTTTAGTGGTCATAGATTGCAGTTCTACTGCGCATGAGGTTGACATCCACTCAACCAGTTTGAGCCCCTGGCCCCTTCCCTCCCTGCTGTATGAGGTTCCTTCTGTCACCTTTCTGTATGAGGTTCCAGGCTGCGAGGAAGTGTACAAGAGCTGGTGTGTGGTAGGCTGAGAAGGCCACCCTGCCTTGCTCTTCAAGACTTTTCCTTTCACAGACGGGTTGTTTCGGAGTAGTGACCTCAGATGGGACTGGCTTCACAGACTCGTCCTTTCCTGTTCATTCCGTGAATAGCTGGACACCGGGACACAAATGCTGGGCCAGGAATGGGGGGCGGAGGAGGGCGGGGTCATAGAACAAAGAGAAGAGAACAGGAGTGAAAAGCAATCTGTCTTTCCTATGATCTGTACATGTACCCACCAGCCACCCACAGTTCTAACCCTGAGGGAGAGCCTAGCAGCTGAGAATGCCAGGCCAAGTGGACTTTCCCAAGGAGGCATAGAAGCAAAGCCAGAAGCAGGTCCTTTCCCAGTCCACCAGGGTGCTGTTCCGGGGACTCAGTTTTCCTTCAGGCTCCTCTTCTAGTCCCAGGAGTCACCTGAAAGTGGGATGTGTGCTTGTGAAGAGACAGCTGCCCTAGAGAATCTTTTAGAAAAGGAAACAATCTTCCCTTCCTTGGTCTGCTCTAAAGATGCTGATTTTCCTTGTTCTTGGAGCCTTCCTCTTTTGTGAGAATGAGTTTGACATGGAACTGGTTTCTCTGGTAATGAAATCATCTGCCACTTACTTTTTTCATGTGCATTTGTGTTTTGCCTGCATGGATATCTGTGTGAAGGTGTCAGATCCCCTGAAACTGGAGTTTTGGGCAGTTAGGAGCTTCCATGTCGGTGCTGGGAATTGTACCCTGGTCCTCTGGAAGAGCAGTTGGTTTTCTTAATCGCTGAGCCACTTCTCCAGCCCTCGTCATCCACCATCCAACTGACAGTCTCAGAGCCCGGCAAGACTGACCGCACCCTGTCCTGCCTCACGCCTGCACTCAGAACCTGCTTACAGGTTGTGAGCAATGGGGATGGGAGAGGTCATAACCCGTTTCCTTTCTCTTCTTCTCTGAATTTGTATTTAGAGAGGGGTTTTTGCTTTCTCCCATGGCACTAATTGGGCCGAGAGTTGGTTGGGTTCCATGATGGGGAAAGCAGACACTGGGTCTCTTAAAATTATAGTAGAGCGTGTGTGACAGCAACTCATTAAGGATGTGTGCCCAAGGAAACTGGCAAGAGAATGGATACCCAATGGGAGAAGGGCCACACAAGACGCAGTCCTGCAGAACACAGGCTCCGTTGCTCCCTGGGGTGGCCCTGGAAGGCAAGACCCGTGGCAGGACCCCAGCCTGAGCTACTGAGTTTCCATCCTCTCCTCCTGGCCTGTCATCAAGTGCAGGTCTGTATGGGAATGGTGGCACTTCCAAGTCCTGCACGTGTAGAACTGAAGGGGTCCTGGGAGGGCTATGGCTATCCTGGAGAGAGACACTGGTGTGCACAGTGGAAGCAAAGCCTATTTGGGCCAGAAGCACACAGGGAAGTGGCTTAAGGACTCAGAACACACCCAGCAGGGACCGTCGCCACAGGGCAGATAAGAATAGTCCTAACGCAAAGACAAGACTCTGAGGCTTTAGGCAACATGTCCGTGTAGCTATCTTCCATCCTTAGCACTTAATAGTATATCTAGGCAATTCCAGGCCCCAGATTATAAACTTTCCTCTCTTTGCTTGGCTTTTATGCAGTATTCATTTCTGGACACATTGTCCTGAATATTATCTCCCTCTATTGGTGGGTATTTGTTCCTGCCAATTTTCTTGCTATTACAAAAAAAATAAAAATCCCTCTGTAATAAATATCCATACACTAGCTTGTCACAGGCAATATACCAAATGTCCAAGTGGGATTAATGCTTTTTAGATCAAAAGGCGTGTGCATTAAACTTTTTTATACTGTCTGTACCAACTCACATGCCCACACTAACAGTGTTCTCACAGCTCTGGATCACTGCCGGTCTGATAGGTCTTGGCTACACTTTGGATTTACACTTCTCCAGTTATATGTAACTGTCTCTCCTTCATCTAAGAGTCATCTGTGTTTGCTGTTCTGTGAACTGCCTGACTTGTATTCTTGTTTTTCCTTTTTCGTTTTGTTTTATTGACTTAGAGGAGTACATTGCTGAGTAAAGAAATGGGAGTCTTCTGCAGAGTGACTTAACAATGGAATCATAGGAAGCCAGAACTCGCCACACTGCTTTTGTTAGCTAGGTCTCCTGTCCAGACCAGTCCTCTCCAGCCCATGGCTCTTTGCTTCCTTTCTTTTTTCAGGGCTAGGGGTGAAGCCTAGAGACCTAGTAGGCAAGTACTCTACCCCAGAACTACAGAACCAGCCCCTTATTAGTCTTCTGTATGCTAGCCTCTGTCTTCCCATACATTTTCTTTTTAAATTTACTTTTCGTGTGTGTGCATTGGTGTCTTGCCTGCATGTATGTCTGTGTGAGGGTCAACTGGAGTTATAGACAGCTGTGAGCTGTCATGTGGGTGCTGGAAATCTAACCCGGGTCCTCTGGGAGAACAGTCAGTGCTCTTAACTGCTGAGCCATCTCTCCAGACACCCATCCCCGTGCCTGCCCCACCCCCACAAACATTTCTCTCTTGTTTATTTGTCCTGACATCCCAGAGTTGATTTCAGTAGTGAAAGGAAGCTTGACATTTGTTCTTCGTCACATTAAGGGTTTTAGGAGCAGGGTCTACTCTTCAGTCCCTCCTGGTTACCAGACAGTCCACAGCCGCTTGCAGAAGGCTGGGACCCCAAACAAGCGTTCTTTGCTGGTATGTGGCAGGAATGGTTGCATGAATGGCCAGAGAAAACCTTACCTGGATTCACTAAGCTTTACATGCTAAGCAGCACACAAATGTCCTGACAGACTACTGCCATGGAGACTGAGTACTGTCCCAGCAATCCTGCAAAGCCAGCTGGGAAACCTGTGCAGCCAGTGCAGAGCCTGGGGGACCACAATCCCCACTCAGAGTCTGGTAGTATCAGGCAAGGGCCATAGTGGCTTTCCCCGTCCAAGATGCCTCGACATACAGACTTCCTTCCAGGTCTGTCCTAGACCACACCCAGGGAGGGAAGAAGTCCTCGGCCTTTGTAAGATGCAGCGCTGGATTCCAGAATTCATTCGTGGCAGCTGCCTGATAGGAAGCATATCAGGTTAGGGCTGAGGACATGGGACACCGGGGTCTACTGTCCATAGGAGAGCATCTGGCTACACAGAGAAAGGGCAATTAGAAGCAAGTGACTTGTGAGGGACATGGGCCCACAAGCGCTGGAACATGATGAAGTGAGGAGGGGCAAATGATCAGGGAAGGCAGCACTGAGGAATAGCCAAAGGATTGCCATGAATTCAAAGTCAGCCTGGGCTACAGACTGAATTCAAGGCTACCTTGGGCTACAGGATTAGACCCTATCTCAAAAAAAAGTCAAAAGGGGGCTGAGGATGTAGCTTAGCTGGTAGAGTGCTTGCCCCAGCATGGATGAAGTCCTGGGTTTCATCCCTGGTACTGCACAAAAGCTGGCATAATGATGCATACTTATAACCCAGCACTCAGGGGGTGGACGCATGGTGAGGAGTTCAGGGCTCATTCATTCTCTGCCACACAATGAGTTCCAGGCTAGCCTGGGACACATGCATGATACATTGTATCCATAAAAAGGAAAGAAATGGAGTAGGAAAAGGAGGAAAGGAGAAAATATTCCCCCAAACCGATGTCTGTTAAATATGAGAGACTTTTTATATCATTACTTCCTAAGCAATACCACGATTTACATTATACTGGATGTTATGCCCAGTCTAGATGAATTTCGGAGTCCATGAGAGCATATGCATGGGGTTTTTTTGAGCATCTGTGAGTTTGAATGTCTTCATGGGGCCCTACAGCCAGTCTCACAAACACTTAAGGACTGCAGTGCCTAGTCACTGCCTACCTCCAGGACTCTCTGACAGGAGCCAATGGCAAGACTTTGTAGAATTAAAGAGTGAGGGGCGGAACAAACTGAACTGAGTCTCTTCTGTGGTCCCTGTGCCCCTGTCTCCTAGGCTGTGTAGTATGACCTTGGGGCTGACGCTGTGCTCTGATCTCAGCTCCTTCCTCCTGCACCCCAGCAGCTACCCAGCCGGATTGTTTAGCCACTGTGGGTGTTCCTACAGTGAAACTAGACAGTCTTTGGGGTTCTTCCTAACAAGCCCCAACAAGCAGAGGTCAAAGCCTGGCCTGCAATGCTTTACCCAGTGTCTGTCACCTCCAACCTGGTGGCTGCAGCACCACCAGATGAGGGCCTGTGGCTTCCTAGATTCAAGTGTGGGCTGTACCCTTTTGTATATAGATAGGCTGAGAGCCAGTGTCGTAACCTGGTGATTCCCAAGCTGCATCTGGCCAACAGATGTGCTTAATCTGGCTGACAATTTGAATTTTTAAAATCTGAATTCATTTCCAACATTTGAAAACCAGTAGTTTCCCCATAGAAATACAGATTTTTTTAATTAAAAAATTTTTTTTGCATCCTTGGAAAAATGGGTCTAGTTTCCTACAGGACACCTTTGTTAGGAAGGGCTGAGGCATGGAGAACACAGTCCTGCTTACCAGGCCTCTCCATCTCTTGATGCCATATGTCCAGCTCTTAGGTGTCTGGATCCAGAACTTCCTGCTAATTGATCCATGACCCAAAAATGATAAGAAGACCCTAAGTGACTCTCTATGCAAGCTAATGGGGCAGTTAGGAACCGAGCTATATCTCAGCCCTATAATAGGTCTCAAATCACATTAACAGGGAGATGAATGAGAATTCCTTACAACTGGGACAGCTGGAATTTGGGGCAGCAAAAATACATTCCCGGAATCCCCCAGAGTCCTGAGGACGCCCACACCCTTTGTCCCAGTCACCATAAGAAAGGCCACACTGATAAGGCCCTGGGCGACCAGATGACAACATTCTTGGGATTCAGATTAAGTGGGAAGGGCCACCTGCTCAGCACATAGCTCAGGGCTGCCAGGAAGTGGGCAGTGGCCGTTGGGCCACTGGCAGCAGGGGTGCCAACCCTTCTTGGCATTTCAGTAATGCCACAAGCACCCAAGCTGTAGCAGGGAAGCCAAATCATCTCATTCTGCAAGGACTTTAGGAAAAAATTACCAGTCTTGTAGGCAGGGAGTCTGGGCCTGCCCCTCCCCCCATCTTGGCTGCTTCTGAACATCGTTACTGAGAAGGGTATTTCTCGTGTATATCTCCACATATACCCGAGGCACAGACAGGAATGGCTGACGCAGTGCCAGGGAGGCCTTGGAGAGGACAGCAAGGGCCAGCATGGTAAATGGTGAGAGAAAGGCTGTTCTCCACATTTCCAGCCCACGGAGGAGTCCAAAATGACTTCTTCTCTAGACTAATATTACATTATGGCCACAGTGCTTCAAATGGCATCACCACAGCACAGTCCTCGTCAGCTAAGGCACTGTCATAGGTGACAGCAGAGGGAAGTCCACAGGAGCTGGTGAAACACAGATACTTAGCTCTATGCTGATGACCTACCAACCTGCCAAACAAGCTTGTATAATCAGGGGGCCCATGGACGAGCCAGTCAGAAGGTGCCTTCCAGACAGCCTCACAGGTCAGGGGAATGTGATGGCTCTGAGTCACAGCAAGTCCAAGAATATTGTCACGTTTACCAGGAGGGTGTCAGCAGTGGTTGCAGAACACGTCCAAGTTCAGGTCTTAGGACCTTTGGTCAGTGTTTTACCTCCCTGAGCTCCACCCTTTGCTAGATATGACTCACAGTCCCTTTCCGTAGCTGTTTGGAGGATTGAACATAATTCTGAATGTAAAGTGCAGGTTCATAGTGGATAAGTGGAGGTGACAGGGTAGCCTACACCATGTCCCCCAAACTTGTTCAACCTCTGAGTTTTGGGGTATACACCAAGCTGTCTATCTTGCAAGTAGGACACCCATGCCAGTGGTTAGCGTGGGAAGGAGGGAGCTCCTCTTCAGTGTTTGTGGCAAATCACCAAGGTCAGTCTGAGATGGTCCTACGGTTGGCTGCAGTGGTTGGGGACACTGGTTAGGCTGGAGGGGTGGGGATAGCCAGACCCTTCTGCTCTCAGGAAACATCCCATACCTTTGCTGAGCATTGGCCTCCTGGGAATATAGACAAAAAGGCATCAGACAGAATGCAGCCTCATGGACAAAGGCTAGAAAAACGTCCACTTACGTGACTCTCTCCGGAGAACAGGAAACTGGGGGACAGAACTCTGGAAGCTTTTTTTTTCTCTTTAATACTAGACCCATCTATTCTTGTGTCAGTAGCTCATTATCTACCTTTAATGTCTTGATATATATTCACCTGCAGAGGCAGGTGAACCTAGACTTGGAGGCTAGCCTGGACTAGTCTACATAGTGAGTTCCATATTAGCCAGAGCTACATAGTGAGACTCTGTCTCAGCATATATACACATATATGCACATATTTATACATGTATTTACATATGCATGTGTATGTATGTTTTACATATTTATATATGTGTGTGTATTGTGTCTATACATATATACACATGTGTGTATACATTTACACATATGTATCAATGTGTGTGCATGTATATACAGAAAGTAATGAATAAGCAAAAGGTACCCCAATCATAGCCAGAATCAGGGTCCTATGATCATTCCTGGCTGTTAAGCCCAGGCCTGCAGTATCTCCCCTTCTCAGTATCTCATGGACCTCTGTCACCTGCTCCCCAGATGCCTGATTTGACCAGCTCTGTGTCTTACAGTTCCCAAGGCCACAATTCATAAAAGTCTATATGGAGAGCATCAGAACAGGCCTGGGGGGACTGTCAGTATGACTAGCTAAAATAGCTTCTGGAAGGGCCACTCAGCTCAGAGCTTCAGTTTGCTGCCTACAGGCAGTTAGCCTCTGTAGGGCCAGAAGTGAGAAGGGCACTCATGGCAGTCGGGAGTAGCAACAGCCTATGCACGGTCTACCAAGGTGTCTTGGATGAGTGGGTCTCCTCTCCCCACGGTGACTGTCCACTCAGAACTGAGGACAGTCAGGAGTGTCTTGGAGATCCAGGGTAATGAAGTCCAAGGCACCCTGTGCTGCTACTGCACCTCCTGAGGATAGCAGACTTCACACCCCACACCAGCCTGCACCCCTCAAGCTGTCCTACCCACTGCCTGCAGATCATGCATACCCAACTGCCAACTCTCAGATAGGGGTTCCTTGAAGCAAATGTGGAGACAAAAATGCTGGCATTGAGCATGTTGTTGGAGTGGGATGATCCTAGGACGCACTAGTAGAAGGGATTAGCAGAGAAGGAAGGCTTACCTTTCCTGTGTATATGACCAGGACATCTGAACCATCCAGAGGGGACAGACAGCCTGAGGAGGAGCAGTCTGGGTCCCAGCCAAGGTGTTCACCAGCCATGCAGCTCTGGGTTTGACATGGTGAACATTTGTTAGCGGAGAGTAGGAGCTAGAAGGTCAACCCTGCAGGCAAAGGATCCAGGTCTATTTTCCCTTTAAAGCCTAGCAGGGTATCTGGCACAGAGAGCACTTAGCAAATATTTGTGGTTCCCAGTGTCACTCTTTCCTTATTGATAACAGCTGTCAATTATTGAAGAATCCCCAGGCTCTAGACTTGGTGTTAAGTGCTAGATGTCCTGCCCTTGCTGTACTTATGGTACTATCCTCACACCTGCCATTTCCCCCATACCTGCCATTCCCCTCACACCTGCCATTCCCCTCACACTTGCCATTCCCCCGACACCTGCCATTCCCCTCACACCTGCCATTCCCCCCACACCTGCCATTCCCCCGACACCTGCCATCACCCCTCACACACCTGCCATTCCCCCTGACAACTGCCATCCCCCCTCACACCTGCCATTACCCTCACACCTGTCATTCCCCCCATACCTGCTATTCCCCTCACATCTGCCATTCCCCTCACACCTGCCATTCCCCCTCACACCTGCCATTCCCCCTCACACCTGCCATTCCC